ACGCCAGCCGTACCTAACTGTCTGGGTGCCGTCTTCTCTAAGGTAGTAGGTTCTAGCAGCATTCTTCCTGGACCACTCAATGTGTTCCTCCTTGCTCCAGGTACCCACAACCACTGAAGTCTTGCCACTTTCTTTATCCTAAAAAAGGAAAAGCTGATAATTACCTTGTATATAATATATAATACATATATTATACATAATACATATACATATTATAATATATATAATACAAGCGAGGCTCTTTTAAATAAAAAAGGAAAAGCTGATAATTACCTTGTATTATAATACAAGCGAGGCTCTTTTAACGACGAGTAGAATGTCATTTCTAGAGCAAGTCTGCTTCTGTCAACATAACCTGTTCTCGCATTCAGGACAAGCTGATTGATCTGGTACTAAAGTTGAGTTGATGGGCTCTTCAGAACAGCCACCTAGGCTGGGTGAGCTGACAGAAGTGTTTCAATGACCAAAAGAGCATTCCCACGAATCCCCCCCCCGTTTTTGCAGCTTTGATTATCGCTGTGCTCTGCCTGACATGGTACTTACATCCACCTGCATAAGCCTAGACAGCACATGGAGGATTTCTCTCCTGAAATCCAATTTCTTAAACCCAAGACGTTGATCATCCAAGAAAAAGATTCTGCTCCCTGCTGTCCCCAAGACAGAGACAGATTCTCTAACCCTTTCCCCCCCCACCAGCCACCCACAGGGGCAGAACATAAAACTATTTAAACATACCTCATGATACTGATGAACATATTTGCCATAGCAGAATTCATACTTCCACCAACCAACACCCTAGGGAGAGGTATAATCACAGCATTAAAACAAAACCAAACCCCCCAAAACAACCCTATCCATTTCCCTCTGGACTCAAAACCACTGGCTATTTTAGCTGTAAAACTCAGTGTCTGCTATTCAAATATGTCGATTCAAGGTTTGCGTTAAGAGAGAATCTCTTATTAGACTGACATAGGGAATTCCATCTATTCCAAGATGAGCTTAAGCAATGAGGATCTCATTTTTTATGGAGACTCTTTGAAGAGCCACAGAGGACTCGATTCCTTAAGCTATTAGTATACCCCCTATTCATCTTCTAAAGAAATATCTTCCTCTTTCAAAGATGGGTAAAACTTCAGATGCCTTTTCTCTGCTGGCTGTTCTCTCCAGAAAAGTTGTATCAGATTTTTTTTTTTTCCTTCTCATTAACAAAATCAGCACTGAACAATGCTCATGATCTACTTTCATTTCACTCTGCTCAAATAAACTGAATTTCAACAGAAAGGTTAAAGGTGCCTCTGTGCCACAGACTTTCGTATATAAGTCTCCTCTATATCAGCGCAGAGAAAAGCAATTATGACATGTATAATGAAGGCAACTACCAGAGTTAATGGAAAAACTAAACAAATACATAAACCAGTATGTGCAATTAAGGAGTAGCTATTTTATTATACATAGCTTTATTTCTCACCCCATGGAAGCAGTAGGAACCACTAAGAAATTCCTTTATGAGTTGGTCATCGGTCAATTTGGAGATGTGGGTTGTTCCCACAGTTAATAGTTGATGGCTTCCAACAGCAACGGGCTTATGAATGGAAGAAAATCTCTCTTCTTTTGTTGAATGCATTTCTTCCTGAAATTAAAGCAGACACAAATATATACACAAGGTATACATTCATTTAGATTTTATATGTCCCTTGCAAAGTCTTAGAAACTATATGAAGTTACTTAATATTAAAGTGACATAGGCTGTGGGAAAAAGTATGAAAATGTTTTGTCATTGTTTTCACTGTCTTCAGCATAGCTGAAAAAAAGCTCAAAAGTCAAAAACTTCACACGTTTGTAAACTGTACGTGAAGGTGGCTATATAAGTGTTAAATCAGTAGCCCAAACTTACTTGCTTTGTCTTCCTCCCAAGTAAGGTAAGTTACAGATGATTTCAACAAGCTTAAAGACCGTGTGAAAGGCTGACATGGTCTGAGAGAGTTGGGTAAGAGAACTTATTCCACAAAACTGAAAGTTGTATGTGCTACAACATGGAAAATAAGTATTTTCCTCTTTAAAAGTAAAGAGATCCTACCTCCTTAACCCTCCTAAAAGGCATCTTCATCATTTCCTGCTGTTTCTCCAGCTGTTCCAGATTATGGGGTTTAAGTGGGGATCCTGGCAGGGACTGGCAAAAGATGTCATTCACAGGGGAAGCCCTGAACCTGCCCAGACAAGTTAGGAATACATCATTTTATTATACTTTGAAGTAAAGGCATACTTTTATATTGCTCTAACTTTCTGACTGAGCTGAGCGGGTTTTTTTTGTGGGTTCCCCCCCCGCCACCTTGTACTTGCACCATCTCAAAGCTACGCTGCTCTTACAATTGATGCAAATACGTTTTTTGCCCAGCTCCTAATGCTGCCAGACTATTGGCAATGCAATCTAACCCCTTTTCAAAATGACAAAGGTGCACATTAAAAGGCCAACTGCCTTCTAGGCGCACCATGAATGTAGCGCCAACGCTCCGCAAAACTCTCTTGGGGGCCAGGAAACGGCAAAGGTAAGACTAGATAGATACAGTTCCTACAGAATGAGAATAATACATTCTTGTATTATCTGACACATATGGCTTTTCATGCTGCATGTACACCATTATTCCTTTGTCACTCTCGTCAGGAGCCATGTCTGCAAAAAGCAGCTTATTTCAGGAAAGAAAAAGCAAAAGGATGAAGCAGAGTAGCACAGTTTATGCGATGAAGGCCTCATTCAAACACCAAATAAGCCTTAACAGAAAATAGTACAGGAAAGTGAACAACAAAGTGAAAATCATACTGACAAGTGAAGCATTGGTTCCGTTTTCTTTGCTCGTCTCATTGAAAAGGTCCTCGTTAGAGAAAGCTCATTTACAAAACAAATGTACTTTGTACAAATGTTTTGTACAAATGTACAAAACCAAGCAGATAAGGCTTCAGAGGCAAGGTGGCTTTTTGTGATGTGCTCCTAGGAAGATAACACACAGCAGCAGCTGTATAATAATCACCACTTTAGTTAAAAGAATCTGAAAACGCTTCCTAAATAGTAACTACACTCTAGGTGAAATTAAGTCCTGTACCGAAGAAGCCTAGTTTTATCTGAATTTTATTTAAACAAATTAAGACTAATAGTTACAGTAGACAGATACTACTTTTCACTGCCTTCCTCCCTGTCCCCCAATTCCCACCAATTTTAAAAAGTCAAATTGTACCCGGATAGGAACAACTACTAAAACTAATGGACATACTTTTGCTAAGCCAATGCAAGTGCATTATTGGGTAAGATAACGGGTGTGGAGGAAAAGTGCTGGTGGCTAAAGTACTGCTCAGTGCTGTGTCAGGGAACACATGAGAGGAAAAGTGCACTTCACTTGAAATGAGGTTGGTTTGTTGTTACCTCTGCTGACACCGAGCAGCGTTTCCAGCCTGCTATCCCCACCCATCTTTATTCATTCTCCCACTTAACATCACCTTGGTAAAGATCTTGTATGTTTATTTTAAGTATTTCCTGCTAGTGGCCTGGTAGCAGCGCAAGATTTTCTTCTTATCAAACGACAGAACAAGTTGCCTGCGCACTTTCTGTTCTGCTGCTAATACAGAGGCTTAAAAGACTCAGAGTAAACAGCCAATAGCGCAATAGAGAAGTGCAACACGTAACCTACTACCAAACCCACCTACATGAGACAATTTGTAATTGATACTAAATATTTAACAACAGCGTAACTTATTTACTCCATCTGGCAAGTGTTTATAAAATGCATGATTGAGAATTTTGGCCTTTAGACTCTGTTGCCTCTTTCAGAGCTGCAATTAAATGCTTGTTCTGACGTCTGTGTTTATGGGAAATTCAGAACTCCCGTCCATTATTTCCCCTTTAATTTGTATGTCATGCACTTTGCAGTTCTGTTCACACCCTTTAAATGGTCAAAAATCTGTACTGTTGAGACTTAAGAATATCCCTTAGATACATGGTACAGTTCAGGGAGAGGGGAAAAAAAAAAAGAATCCTAAATTTGATTTTTGGAAAACAACACTGAAATTGTGAATTCTTCATATGACAATGACTTATACAGCTGAAGGTAAGGCCATGAAGCAGGACAGAGACAGATGGGAGCTCCTCAGGTTGAGAGCACCACTAAAATAGATGTTAAGGTTATGGCTAAAAGATGTTTTGTTTGCTGAAACTGGAGAAGTCAGAGTCTATGCACACATATATTGCACGTATGCATCTGAGTACCATGAAGATGATCCCCCAAGACCTTGAAATGATAAATTAAGAGGAGACAGGGTGTTCTTTGTCTGCCTTAATGCTCTAGTTTGTGTTCCTCCAGAATGGCAAGGCTAGAAACTTACCCATTGAAAATAAATGATACTTCCCACCTGCTTCTCATATGGGCTCCATCAGCAGAGACTTAGAAAATGCAAATACTGTGCAACTTAACACGAAAACTGAAGACTTGGCAAAACTGCACTTGCCAAAGTACGTACGTAGAAGCGTCCCAGCTCTGTACCAGAAACCACAGCTAGATATATGCCTTACAAAAACGCAGACATGCATGGAAATTGATGCAAACTTGAAGTGATAGCGTTAGCCAAAATGTGAATACCGTACCTATATTTAGGATGGTTGCATAACAGAGGTGTCAATATAACCACTTCATATTCACAGGTTGTAACTTCTGCTACTGAAAGAATCTCATGTTTAGCCTCTGGATGACAGATGTACATCACTGTACTTGATCTGGGTAGGTTTTGTCTCAAGCTACAAGGCGTGCCATTTCCCATTTCTACAGGATAGTATGGGGTCATCTGCCCTTCTATATTTTTTGTAGGTATCTAGGTGAAAGAAAGTAAAAGTTAAGAATCACAGTGAAGCTCCTCTGACTCTTCTGAAACAAAACACACTATTACATTGTGCAGAGCCAGCATTACTGGATTGAAACCAGCCTCTGTGTAGTTACTTGGCATTTCTGCAACATCCAAACATGTTCTGGTCTGTTATCTCCAGCACCACACATACAAATGCACTGAGCCACATGAGCTCTGACTGCACAAAGCAGCTGGTTTCCCTGCACAGGCTGCCTGATGTTTCAGTTCTAAGAAAGCTTGCCAGCTGGGGGCAATGTTTTGGAAGAGCACTGAGCCAGCTGTGTTCACCTGGTAGTCTAGGAGACAGGGAGTTGGCCATAGCTCTGCCAGACTCGGCTCAGGTCTGGCCAGGCATGTTACCTTCCCTTCAGTGCCAGGCCATAAAGAATCTAAAAACGCCCCAGCGAAGTCATCCCAATACCCGCACTGCACCTCTTGGTGTACCCAGCCTGGGTTGTTCCTTACCCAGAGCATCCCACACCACTTGTTATTGTGGCTAACAAAGTTCACGATATATACAAAGTAAATCCCACTTTTGTACACACTTTAAGAAAGCTCTCTTCAGACTTGCTCCTTCATATGTTTTACCCAGCTTCCGCTTTAAGAATTTAATTCCCCACTGGCAAAAGTCCCTCTCCTGGCTCCTATCTTGGAAGTAGCTAGAGTTCCTGGGTACCAAAAGTTCTGTTTGTGCAAAAGCCATGCTGGAACCCACAAACTAGACCTTTTTCTACCTGTGTTGCTTGAGCTAGTCAAGGTTTTCAGTGCACAACAAAGCAGGCTCTATGCCAAAAGGCAGTAGTGCCTTCTGTGGTCAGGACATTAACCCAGGGACCCAGTACCTTTCTATCTCTCACCTACTTTGGTTTTCAAACCACGTTACCCTGTCACAGGCTCCCTGAAAACTGTTCCATCACGAATGAGGCAATGAGACATTCATGAAGTTAAAGAATGAACGTGCCGGCAGCTCAATTGCTCGGGCGCTTCCAGTCACTTATCCACTCTATACTTCAATATTCAGTCAAAGGTGGGAAATGAAGATGCATTCTGGTTGCGTACAAAAGAACTGACAAAAAGGGTATCAGTGCCTCCCCCTTCTATCTTTCTGAATGAAACGAGTGATTTTTTCCTTAAAATTTGACAAATTACACCTACGCATTTCACTGAAAGTAACTATTCATGACATCTACGTGGAGGTAGCTGCTGTTTGCACCCAACCGAAAGGCACCCTGGTAGGACTGAAGATAAATCTCCAAGTCGGAGCAGGTTTTGGTTCCTTTAAGCACCACCCAGCTGTGTTACGTATTCTTTCCCTTTCAGGACTAGAGATTCCATGCAAATTGCAAGTCTAAATTCTTTATGGACTGAAACCAAGACAGCCTATGTACATTGTAAATACTGTCAAAAAAAAAAAGTCAGTAGAAGACTTAACTTCCTCTGAAAGTAAAAAAAAATTTTAGAAGTTACACTACAAAGAATCTAGTTTTCTTTAATTTCCAAGAGGCATAACTGCCACTGCCATTAGCACGGGCCAAAAGTCTGACTTGGGTCTGCTCCCCCAACTATCTCCAAAACACTTATCAGTATATTTTCTGAGATCCAGTGCAGAAGAGGAACTACTCTGGGCCATGTGAATCTGCATTACAAAAAACATGTGGATAAAAATTTCAGAATTAAAATGAAGGATAACTGGAAATAAGGGAGGCACGCGTCCAAATCTGCTATTGCTAATTCCAAACTCCAGCGTGCTTCAGGTCCTTCCACTGTTTTGCTATAAAGTTAGTAACTCAGAATTGAGTTTTGGGGCCTAAACAAATGGAAAAGTTCTCTAATGGAAAAGGGAAACACAGAGTTTTATGGGATGAGTCATCAAGTCAGGTAAGAAATCTTTCAGGGATTTTGTGCTGTAGGATTTTGTTAAGCATTTCTCCCTACTCAAAATGCACAGAAGTGTCATTAAGGGAACTGGGGTCTCTGATGTAGCTGGAAAAATAACTGTCGCTAGACCATAATGTGACTTTGTAGTTATGTGTATTGCCTCCACAGAAGAAGAATATATAATTCATCTCATTTAAGTTTAAGATTAGCATAACTTTAATGTAAATAAGTAGAAGGCAAAGAAATTTGACTAGCTAAATTAAATAAGCTTTCTGAGCTGGGACTGATAATCAAAAGTGAGAAGGAGTGCAGCTCAGGAACAGTTTCACTTTTTGATGCTTATTTTGGTAGGGAACTAATTACATAATCTCATCATATATAAATTGCCTCCACTATTGATGGCAAAAATTAAAATAGATGTTTTTCACTTGCCTCTTTTGCACTCTCTTTTGGATTTTCCTTCTCTTCTTGATCTAGGGAATAATTAAGAATGAGGTAAGAATAAAGTCTGTGAACTTGAAATAAAATGAAATTATATACAGAGAAGTTTGGATGTTTTGTGTATTTGCTAGTACTTTGTGTATACACTGCCAAGAATTAATTTCATGAACTTGCAGGTGCAAAAGAGGAAAGAAAGGAAACAAACAGTGATCTGGGGTCCAGAGCAAACAGAACAAAATATGAGTTAGCAACGTCTTCAAACAATTTTGAGTTTGTAGGACAGGCCAAACCCAACCCTAGCAGCACAGGAAGGCCAGCCAGGGCAGAACTACCGCGGTTCTTCGAGGGGTAGCTGACTACTCTTTTCTAAGTGACCAAATTACAGGCTGGGACAGTAAACAGGCAAGTACTTCAGCCCACCCACTAGCCAGCCTCAGAGATTACACTGGTAGGAAGAAGTGAGGCCAGGCTGCATGCCATGCTAATGATCATGAGAGTAAACATCATTAGGGAGCAGGGGTTGCAAGTTATCACAAGTGAGAGCTATCCTTAGCCTTCCAAACTGCTTCAGGAGACAGTCTGGACTCCATTCAGAATTAGGTGAGCAAAAGGCCACTCTGCTTTGCTGTCACCCATGCAGCTGTTCCAGGTTTACTGTATCACACTTGTGGATTCGCCTCACAATGGTTTGAGAAACCATCTACGTTATTTTTAAGAGAAATAGCAGGAATTGCTGTATAGGAAGCATAGAAAGAATACAGTCTACCACCTAAATGGAAAGGACAAAGGGTCAACGTCCTAAAAGAGTCAGATGTGATGACCTGAAGTATCATCACACGTAACTTCTGCATCCAGCCCCGCAAAAGAATTGGTAACTCAAGCTAAACATTTTGTTTTCTGTACAGCAGCACCCAGGGAGAATGAGGCATCTCTGCACAGGACTACTGACAGCACAAACAAGCACTGTAGCTCACTAATAAAGAAATGCCAAACAATGCAATTTCTGAAGTCGTGTTTCTTTTCAGGACTAAGACACCTAACTGAAGGCTATGGGTAGGAATTCAAAGGAATGGGATTAATAGCGCTAAATCCCCTAAAAGACTGAGGCTTCCAAGTTAATCGCTTTTAGGAAGAGAAAAATGGTGGTGCCCACCTTTTACATATCAGCCTAGAATTAAAATACCGACCAACTAGATTATGTTTTTTGTATTGTTTCTATCAACTCTGATGAATGAACACTTAGTCTGTAGATTTTTTGAGTTCTTTGGACTAATATACTGCCAAAGTGCCCACCCAGGGAAGCAGATTTTGTCAGGTACAACCACAGAATTTCCAGCATCTCCAATAATTTACAGGCAAAAAAAAAAATTGAAGTGCTCAGAAAATGAGTTGTTCTAAATTGCAGTTTGAGTTTGGGGCTCAGCTACCTAATTTCCACCAAAGTCCCACTTTAGGCATTTCAGTATTTCCAAAGATCTGCACCAGGATCCCTAAAAAAGACGCTCAAAGAGTTCCAAGGATCAAATCTACCTGCAAAGCCTGTAAGCGTTTGGGCTTGCAGACTACGTTTTATTACAGAATAGCAGAGCCCAAGATGTGCTACACACTCTGCCCTCTGCTCAGTTTGAAAGACACCTCTCCCCATCCAGAAAGAGAGTGGCAACAGGCTATACCATCAAAGTCTGGTCTGGCATATATTGGTTCTAGTTCTTATACTATGTATTTTCTTTCCCTGACACTAATTATTGCAGATGAGTTACTCTAATCAGACAGCATGGCAAAACTGACAAGACGGATGCAGTGTAAGGTGCTGAAGAGGAATTCATTGAAAACAATACATCTTGTAAAAAAAATCTACAAAATTCTATTCTATTGCACTGCAAATCAGTTTTCTACAGCATATTTCTCAGATATTAATAATTTAAAAATATAAAATTAAATTAGCATGAGCAAAATAAATAGTCTAAGACAAACCTGGTTCCGATAATGGGTTCTTTATCATCATATTCCCCAGATAGTATTCTTGGATGTTAATTTTCTACAATGAAGAGAGGTCAAAACAAATTTCAGTTACCTTTTTCTGTACTTTTTCAAGAGTACAGGAATTCAAGTCTTCTAGAGGAGTCAAGCATGAACATGCCAGTGGGAAAGGGGGTTGAGACTACTAAATAGTAACAAGCCTACCTGTCCCGTTTCCTTCTCCTCGTGATATTGACGGATGTGTTTTCCATGGCAGACCTCATAAGTCCAGTAAGATTCAATCTTAAAAAAAATAAAATAAAAAATTTAAGAATAATCTGTTTAGATACATTACCCTCCCTCCAAAAAAATTCCCCCCAAATTTTGGCTTTCACAGCAATAAAACGCAGCCTGAGAAAGTGGGCTTGGGCACCCTCAAAAACAATGAGCACAGTGAATGGTGTCACTGTTGCCCAAGCATTTTGATGAAGTGCCACATAAACACAACAAGCAAAGTTTCCTTAAATTTCACACAGATAAAACAAAGGAAAAAAAATGTAAACAAGATGCAAAGACTAAACTTGCCCCAAAATCACTGGGGCTAAGCTGTAGTGACTCAGCACAGACTGGTTTTGGCAACTGCCATAGATACAGGTTGTTGACAGGTTGTGCTTGTCCCACTCTTCTCTCCTCAAGTACTTGTGTGGGATGCTGTGTCAGTATAATACGTGGCCACTTTTGCTCTCTCTGGTTCTCAGTGCCAGATGAGAATATCTAGAAGTATGTTTGTTTTGGTCTTCTAACACTTTCCGAGAAATGCTCTTCATTAGACTGTCACACATTATGGGTTGACTCCTGGAAGTAAGTATTCTAAATCCACATTTTTTTAATTGCTACTACAGCAACCCAATTTATTTGAATCCTGAGATGTTCAATTATATAGAATTTTATCAGCAATATTAAGATCTAGTCATAAAGTTGTGGAGAACTTATTTTGGATTGGATTACAACCTGAAGTCTGAGACATATATATCCAATAAACCTTGAAATGCACAGGATTGTAAACTTTAGATTAGAATTTAAATTATCAACACAGAAGTAACATACTCTATATGAACAGCTACTTTGCTTAAAAAGAGGTTCCAACAATTCTCCTGGAGTGGGACCTTTATAGTCCTTTTCTTCTTCCTAGAATAGAAGGGTATTTCATTACATTAAAATAGAAACTAGTTTGGTTAGTTAATATTCATTTGCAATAGTTAAAAAAAAACTTACTGAAAATTAAAAGATACAAAACCTCATTAACTCCTGCCCTGAAAGAACTGTGTGGTGATTAGAAGAACAAGATAACTTGGTTTAGTAAGAAGGGGCAAATAAAAGTCACAAATAAATTAGTCAAAGCACAAGAGTTTTGTGGGTTAAAAAAAACCAAAAAAACAAAAAAAAAAAACACGTGGCAAAAGAGTAGGAGCTCACAACTTGCTCATGTCCAGAGTGGCAGCTTGAGTGTGAATAGAAAAACGGCATCAACAATCTTTTCATTTGTTAGCCAATGCTGATGCTGTAGTGATGCCGTATAATTGGAACATCACCCAGCTTTTATACAATTAAAAAAAAAAGCTCCAAAAGAGCATACATAATACTATGGAAGTTTATTTCTGTGTATTTTTTTTGCGCTAGAAATGTGCGTGCTATTAAAGAGATTTCCACACAAAGATCTTCAGTACTAAAGATTTCTCACCTACACGGAAGCACTCCGTATTGTCAGTCACTTAAAGGATGAGGCCTATGTCAAAATGGAGGTCTCTACTGCAGGCGTACAGGACCAGTGATAAACCCCACCAAAGGCCTCCTCAATCTACCTTCTCTTGTACAAACAAATGTATTTATATACTTTTTTTTTTTTTAATTTAAACCCCAAATTGTGCATTCAGATTTCCAGTTGAGGAAACACTGACAGAGAATAAAAATCACTGGTGGCAGAAGCACTACAGCTATAGTCTTTTCAGATAGAGCAATTATAGCAGTGTTAACAACCTTTATAATGGTTTACTGGCCTAAAATTTGACGATGCTACTTAAAGTACAAGATTTTCACAATCAGTCATAGACCTAGCAATAAACAGAACATTACAGCAATCGTTTGTTGCCAAATAAAGACTTCGAGATAGTTCAGACTCACCCCACTTAGTATAAAGCTAGTATGTAACACAAGTGAAGGTATCTACCATAAACTGAAATTGTAAGGTAGTCTGTAGATTATTGTCCTTTTGCAGGAAAAAAAAAGTCTTTTTTTTGGGTGGAAGTAAAAAAGGAACTGAAAAGATGCTGTAAGGCTTGTCTACAGTTTATAATTACGAAAAAGACTTGACTGAACTTACCTCATTGCCGCTTGCTATCAGCGGAAGTATACATTTATATTTTTCTTTATCCACAGTGGTCATTATAATGTAGTTATCCTCTTTGTACAGGACACCAGTTGTAGGCTAAAAAAATCAGCCAACCTATGGATTAGTCAGACAGTTTTTTTTAATGCTACTTGTCAGAAATACTCCCGCATTTCTAAGTGGCGCTGTTAATTTGTAGGGCAGGTGGTCCAGAGTATATCCTAGATCTTAATTATATCACGGGACTTTTGGCATTTAAGCTCGAAACGGCTGGCTAGCATTTGCTCACCTTCTCCCTTGCGTCGATCCTTCTACCTCCGACCACACTCCTGCTCGCTCATTTCCAGTTCTTACCAAAGACTTTTATTAACGGAACACCCCCCAACCGTTACACCTGCAACCAGCCGTCCCCACGCTGACTTTCAGGACGGATTTCCCTGGCATCTCCCCCAGCTGCCACACGCCGGCCACGGCCTGCAACTCACCCTCCGGCCCGGTGCCTGCGTACGCGCTCAGCGCCGGTCACCGCTGCCGAAACACGGGGTGATGTTTCAGGCACGCACCGGCACGGCTGTGCCCAGAACACCCCCAAACGGAAAAATCCTTTTCTGTGGCGCCGGGGCTTCAAAAATGTCCGCCAAGCGTGAGGGGGCTCCGGCCCTCGGACCGAACTCCTGCCGCCCGTCCTACGTACTAACGGTTATAACCGCCCGGCCCCTCGAGTGAGAGAGGCTCCGAAGCAGGAGAGACCCCCAATATCCCGCCCGCC